GAATGATGAATTTCTGTGGAGCAGTCATATTCCCATTATTGTGTGATGTGCATTACCTGGTGATAAAATCAGTGGTGCAAATGGGTAACTCATAGCCATAGGAAACAATGCAATAGCTGTCATACCCCAGGAACACAGGAGGCTCAATCCATACTGCCAGCATAATTATATAAACACATAGCATTTAACTATTTCATTTGGAACAGACACCTCTGCCAGAGTAATCCTATAGTGCATGGCTGTATACAAACATTGCAATCTGATCTGTCGCTCAGCCTCGCTTTGCTCAGCTCTGGGACCTATGATGAAATACCACCTATGTCTCTGCATGGAGTTTGTATGTTCTGCCTGTGTCAGTGTGTGGGGTTTCTCCCTAATTGCCCATTAGTGTGATAGGGCTTAGATATCAGAATGTAAGCTTCTTGGGGAAAAAAAAGCTACTGCTTTAGAATAGGCTGGCCATAAATTATACAATTTTCTTGAGAATTTTGCTTTAGATTTACCAAAAACCATATTATTATATTATACAGTATTTATAAAGCGCCAATAGTTCGCTCAGCGCTGTACATTACAAAGGGGGACAGAACATGTGACAGAACAATACCAATACAATGCAAAACATGAGGGGATTGAGGGCCCTGCTCTTTCGAGCTTACAATCTAGGAGGGAGGGGATGGTGGCACAGGAGGAGATAGCTGTGGGGGATGGAGTGGTAGGAAGAGTGGAGGAGGTCGGTCAAGTTAGCAGGGGGTGGGGTAGGCTTCCCTGAAGAGATGGGTTTTCAGGGTGCGCCTAAAGGAGAGTAGGTGATAATTAGAGATGAGCGAATTATTCAAAAATTCGATTCGGCTGATTTGGCGAATTCGCGGAATAAATTCGATTCGAGTCGAATATATTCGCTGCGAATTTAACTTATAAAAAGGGTGTTTCTAGGCTTCAGAGAGCCTTTATATTAGTGCAGAACACTGTACCTTTAATTTAAATGCCCTTGGAGTCTGCTGGGGAAGAGAACTAATACTGTCAGTCAGTACGACATGCAGATGAGTGCCGTCGATCTTAGAATCACCGCACACTTCACTCATTTGGGCAGTCACGGGGCCAAAACCAGAGTGTGGAGCCACAGTGTGGCGGTGGAGACAGCAGCAATGGAGGCCATACAGCACCCTATGAAAAAATGGAACCCACCAGCAGTGTGAGGAGACCTGAAAGTGGCACATGGCAGAGTGTGGCGATGGAGACAGCAGCAATGGGAGGCCGTACAGGGACCCATGACACACTCTGGACCTGGCAGCAGCATGAGGAGGCGGTACAGGGGCCCATGACAGATTACGGGCCTGGCAGCAGCATGAGGAGTCGGTACGGGGGCCCATGGCAGATTACGGGCCTGGCAGCAGCAATGGGAGGCCATACAGCACCCTATGACAAAATGGAACCCACCAGCAGTGTGAGGAGACCTGAAAGTGGCACATGGCAGAGTGTGGCGATGGAGACAGCAGCAATGGGAGGCCGTACAGGGACCCATGACACACTCTGGACCTGGCAGCAGCATAAGGAGGCGGTACAGGGGCCCATGACAGATTACGGGCCTGGCAGCAGCATGAGGAGTCGGTACGGGGGCCCATGGAAGATTACGGGCCTGGCAGCAGCAATGGGAGGCCATACAGCACCCTATGACAAAATGGAACCCACCAGCAGTGTGAGGAGACCTGAAAGTGGCACATGGCAGAGTGTGGCGATGGAGACAGCAGCAATGGGAGGCCGTACAGGGACCCATGACACACTCTGGACCTGGCAGCAGCATGAGGAGGCGGTACAGGGGCCCATGACAGATTACGGGCCTGGCAGCAGCATGAGGAGTCGGTACGGGGGCCCATGGCAGATTACGGGCCTGGCAGCAGCAATGGGAGGCCGTACAGGGACCCATGACACACTCTGGACCTGGCAGCAGCATGAGGAGGCGGTACAGGGGCCCATGACAGATTACGGGCCTGGCAGCAGCATGAGGAGTCGGTACGGGGGCCCATGGCAGATTACGGGCCTGGCAGCAGCAATGGGAGGCCCGTAATCTGCCAGCACCCTATGACAAAATGGAACCCACCAGCAGTGTGAGGAGACCTGAAAGTGGCACATGGCAGAGTGTGGCGATGGAGACAGCAGCAATGGGAGGCCGTACAGGGACCCATGACACACTCTGGACCTGGCAGCAGCATGAGGAGGCGGTACAGGGGCCCATGACAGATTACGGGCCTGGCAGCAGCATGAGGAGTCGGTACGGGGCCCATGGCAGATTACGGGCCTGGCAGCAGCAATGGGAGGCCCGTAATCTGCCAGCACCCTATGACAAAATGGAACCCACCAGCAGTGTGAGGAGACCTGAAAGTGGCACATGGCAGAGTGTGGCGATGGAGACAGCAGCAATGGGAGGCCGTACAGGGACCCATGACACACTCTGGACCTGGCAGCAGCAAGAGGAGGCGGTACAGGGGCCCATGGCAGAGTGGCGAAGCGTAAGCAGCTTAAATTGAAGGCCATACAGAGGCCTATGTTAAAAATAATAACATGTTTGGGGCATGATTCATGGCGGATTTAGTCAGTTGTGTCAGGAACTGGTGGTTTGAAATCCAGACTAATCCACGCCTGATTCATTTTCACAAACGTGAGTCTCTCCACACTTTGGGTGGACAGTCGTGTCCTCCGCGGAGTTACAATACCTCCTGCTGCACTAAACACGCGCTCCGATGCCACGCTACTGGCCGGGCATGACAGCCTTTCAAGGGCAAATTCAGCTAGTTGGGGCCAAAGGTCAAGTTTCGTTGCCCAGTAGTCAAGGGGATTGTCTACCTCGGTTGGCAGGGTGCTGTCCAAGTAGGCCCAAGCCTGTTGTTTGAGGTCCTGCTCCAGGTCCACCTGATGCTGCTGCTGCTGCAGCTGGTTAGTAGTTTCCTCACTGCGCTGGTGAAGAAAGCTACTCATCATCGACTGCAGACTGAGGCAGCCACTGCTGGTGGAGCTGCCACTGCTCCTACCACCCCACCCCTCCCCTGCTGCCATGGCAGCGGAACGCGAGCGCACAGGGCCCACAGTGTATGAGGATGGACGTTGGCGCAGAAAGGGAGAGACCAACTGACTACATAGTTGGTTTTTATAGTACGTTATTTTGGCCTCCCTCTCAGCAGGTGTGAAAAAGGCCACCATTTTTGAACGGTAGCGAGGGTCCAACAAGGTGGACAGCCAAAAGTCATCCCTCTGTCTGATGGTTATTATTCGGCTGTCGCTACGCAAGCAACCGAGCATGCTATGGGCCATTTGTGCCAAGGAATGCGAGGGACTCCCTGCCTCCATCTCCACAGCATACTGCCATGGTGCGTCTGGGTCCTCTGTCTCCTCCTCCTCCTCTACCAGATGCTTCTGCTCCTCCACTCCTGTCCGCTGAGTGGAAAAACCACCCATTTCACTCAATAATTCCTGAGCACCAATGTCCTCCTCTACCTCCCCCTCTTCTTCCTGTCCTGCCCCCACAGGGGTCATGTGGCGTTGAGATCTGTGCGCCACGTCTACCGCACCCTGACCAGCCATTGTTAACAGCATTTGTTCTAGGACGTGCAACAGAGGAATGGCGTCGTTCATCCCCATAGTCCTGCCGACTCACGAATAGCGTGGCCTCCTCAAAGAGCCTGAGCAAGCGGCAGGTGTCACGCATGAGCTGCCAATGGCTGACATCTAAGTTACACAGGGGAGTACCTTTATCCGCTTGTAACATCAGGAAATCGGTGATGGCCTTTCGCTGTTCGTAAAGGCGGTCTAACATATGTAGGGTTGAATTCCACCTTGTTGCAACGTCACAGCATGAGGAGTCGGTACGGGGGCCCATGGCAGATTATGGGCCTGGCTGCAGCAATGGGAGGCCCGTAATTTTTGCCAGCACCCTAATGACAAAATGGAACCCACCAGCAGTGTGAGGAGACCTGAAGGTGGCACATGGCAGAGTGTGGCGATGGAGACAGCAGCAATGGGAGGCCGTACAGGGACCCATGACACACTCTGGACCTGGCAGCAGCATGAGGAGGCGGTACAGGGGCCCATGACAGATTACGGGGGCCTGGCAGCAGCAATGGGAGGCCCGTAATCTGCCAGCACCCTATGACAAAATGGAACCCACCAGCAGTGTGAGGAGACCTGAAAGTGGCACATGGCAGAGTGTGGCGATGGAGACAGCAGCAATGGGAGGCCCTACAGGGACCCATGACACACTCTGGACCTGGCAGCAGCATGAGGAGGCGGTACAGGGGCCCATGGCCAGATTACGGGCCCTGGCAGCAGCATGAGGAGTCGATACGGGGGCCCATGGCAGATTACGGGCCTGGCAGCAGCAATGGGAGGCCCGTAATCTGCCAGCACCCTATGACAAAATGGAACCCACCAGCAGTGTGAGGAGACCTGAAAGTGGCACATGGCAGAGTGTGGCGATGGAGACAGCAGCAATGGGAGGCCGTACAGGGACCCATGACACACTCTGGACCCTGGCAGCGGGCATGAGGAGGCGTGTACGGTACAGGGGCCCATGACAGATTATGGGCCTGGCAGCAGCAATGGGAGGCCCGTAATCTGCCAGCACCCTATGACAAAATGGAAACCCACCAGCAGTGTGAGGAGACCTGAAAGTGGCACATGGCAGAGTGTGGCGATGGAGACAGCAGCAATGGGAGGCCGTACAGGGCCCATGACACACTCTGGACCTGGCAGCAGCATGAGGAGGCGGTACAGGGGCCATGACAGATTACGGGCCTGGCAGCAGCAATGGGAGGCCCGTAATCTGCCAGCACCCTATGACAAAATGGAACCCACCAGCAGTGTGAGGAGACCTGAAAGTGGCACATGGCATGGCAGAGTGTGGCGATGGAGACAGCAGCAATGGGAGGCGTTACAGGGACCCATGACACACTCTGGACCTGGCAGCAGCAAGAGGAGGCGGTACAGGGGCCCATGACAGATTACGGGCCTGGCAGCAGCATGAGGAGTCGGTACGGGGGCCCATGGCAGATTACGGGCCTGGCAGCAGCAATGGGAGGCCCGTAATCTGCCAGCACCCTATGACAAAATGGAACCCACCAGCAGTGTGAGGAGACCTGAAAGTGGCACATGGCAGAGTGTGGCGATGGAGACAGCAGCAATGGGAGGCCGTACAGGGACCCATGACACACTCTGGACCTGGCAGCAGCATGAGGAGGCGGTACAGGGGCCCATGACAGATTACGGGCCTGGCAGCAGCATGAGGAGTCGGTACGGGGGCCCATGGCAGATTACGGGCCTGGCAGATGACGACGAGGCTGCCAAGTGCGATCAGCCTCATCATCATCAATTAGGGTCTCCGCCTCACTACTAGCCCCCCTCGGCTGCGTGTGGGGTCAGGAGACAGACCTGTCTCTAGACCGGCTACCGAGCCACTCTCCTCGCCAGTACTTCTTCGCTTGGCTGCTGAAGAGGCGGATGTCTCCCCCCGTTCCTGACCGCCCTCTGTTAGCTCTTCCTCACTGTACAGTGGGGCTGAGCCCACAGCATGCGATACTTCACTTGGTGAGGGAACACCAAAGGACAGGGGCAGGTAGAGGACACGTGATTTCAGTGGGCTTGCTCCTGGGCCATGCCAACTAACGGTTGTGTCTGACGTACCCACCGACCGTTGGCTGTAGGTGTCAGAGGTGACCTGGGAAGAGGAAGACGACCGAGCCAACCAATCGATGACGGCAGGGTTGTCGGTGGAGACACGACCGCTGGATGACACCGGGAGCACTGGCCTCTGGCTGCGACTAGTGCTGCCTCGACCCCTTCCTCTGCTGCCACGTCTGCTTGCTCGCTCCTGAAACATTGCCTCCTCTGCCACTCCTCTGCGTGTTGTCTGACATACTCTTTAATTCAACGATTCTGTGTCCCTGAGTAACGATTCTGTGTCCCTGAGTAACGATTCTGTGTCCCTGAGTAACGATTCTGTGTCCCTGAGTAACGATTCTGTGTCCCTCAGTAACGATTCTGTGTCCCTCAGTAACGATTCTGTGTCCCTGAGTAACGATTCTGTGTCCCTGAGTAACGATTCTGTGTCCCTGAGTAACAATTCTGTGTCCCTGAGTAACGATTCTGTGTCCCTCAGTAACAATTCTGTGTCCCTGAGTAACAATTCTGTGTCCCTGAGTAACAATTCTGTGTCTGTCCCTGAGTAACAATTCTGTGTCCCTGAGTAACAATTCTGTGTCCCTGAGTAACGATTCTGTGTCCCTCAGTAACGATTCTGCATCCCTGAGTAAAAATTCTGTGTCCCTGAGTAACAATTCTGTGTCCCTGAGTAACAATTCTGTGTCCCTGAGTAACGATTCTGTGTCCCTAAGTAACGATTCTGTGGCCCTAAAGTCTCTCTGGCCCTAACTCTGTCCCTAATACAGACAGGTCTGTCTTTCTTGAATGACCGGAGGCTAATGGAGAATTGTAAGATGGCCGCAATTTATAGCTCCACCATTACACAGTGCTGGCTGGCTGGCTGCTGATTGGCTAATGCGATCACATGTCATGAATGAATGCATTATGGGTCAGCACGCCTTGTCTGCGCGCCTTCCCAGAGATCCCCGCTCCGTCGCCACACATGTCGCCGCCATTTTTGGGAAAATTCGATTCGTGCATCCGAAGTTTGCTAATTTTCGGATTCGGCGCGAATCGAATTTTTCCTGATCTTCGAAACGAATTCCACTTCGCCATGTTCGATTCGCTCATCTCTAGTGATAATCTGATGGGTTGGGGCAGGGAGTTCCAGAGGATGGGTCAAACCTAACCAACATTTTCACTTGCATCCAATTAGGCAGGTCCTTGCACTACATAGTTGAAGGTAAATCTAAAGGAAATTGGGCTGAAAATTGTAAGAAAATTGTATAGTGTATGGCCAGCCATAGACATGGACCACAGTGCAATTACTTCTGAAGGATACCTGAGAAATAGGAACTGTGGTGCCAAAATCAGGACAGCTGTGAAACAAAAGAACACACTGTGTGTTCTTTTATGTCAAAATCCTTAAAATTAGGTGTTAGGTTAGACAATAAAAGACCATGCAACAATTAAAGATTATGCCAACCATAGCGTTGGACAGTTTTCTCGCATTTTTCAACCAGCTTCGACTTGTAAAAAAACCCATCAAAAACATCTAAGCAACCAACACCAGCAGTTTGGGTCGATTATGAATTCAGTAGCAATGATGGTAATGGGTTGCCTTGCTCCTTTCGACTCTTTTGTGAACAAAAGCCAGTTGAAAGTGCTTCAGATTGCTAGTATAGATTCTCTGATTTTTAGCAGATGATATTTCTTGATAAGATGCTGTGACTTTGTGATTTACATGATATATTCCACACTGCTCCACTCTGCATGGTGTGCTGTACATTATATGGCTCACACTACTCTGTGCTGTACATTTATATTCCAAACCACTCCACTCTGTACATTGAGTTGTACATTATATACTCTGCATTACTAAATCCTCTTCACTGTGCTGTACATTATATATTCCTCATTGCTCTACTCTGTACACTGTATTGTACATTATATACTCTACACTGCTCTGTTCTGCACATTGTACTGTAAATTATATAATTTACACTGCTCTAATCTGCATACTGTGGTGTAACATTATATACTTCAGACAGTTCCCCAATTCCTCACTTTTTACACTGCGCTTTACGTGATATACTCTACATCTTTCTACTCTTTACCTGTACTGTACATTACGCATACCATAATGCTGCACTCTTTACACTGTGTTTTACATTTACTATACATTTTACCACTCAGCATACTGAGATGTACATTATATACCCCACACCATCCCATTCTGCAGACTGTGCTGTACATTATATATTCCACAACACTCCACTCTGTATACTGTGCTGTGTATTATATACTACCACTCTGTACATAGAGATGTACATTATATACCCCAAGCCAATTCACACTGCAGACTGTGCTGTACATTATATACGACCACTCTGTACACTGAGTTGTACATTATATACACCACACCACTTAGCTCTACAGACTGATATGTAAATTATGTACTCCACACCACTCCACCCTGCAGACTGGGAAGTACAATGTATACTTCACCCCACTCCACTCTGCAGACTGAGGGATTACATTATATACTCTACATTGCTTCACTCTGTACACTGAGATGCACATGATATTCTGGATGCCAATTTACTCTGTACAGATGGTGTTGTATAATATATATTGCCACTCTGCACACTGTGCTGTACAATATATACTCCACTCCGCAGACTGTGCTATGCATTGTATACTCCACACCACTCCACTCTGCAGACTGTGCTGTGCATTATATACTCCACACCACTCCACTCTGCAGACTGTGCTGTGTATTATATATGACCACTTTGTACACAGAGATGTACTGTCCATTATATATTCCACACCAGACTATGTTGCACATTATATACTACCACTCTGTACACTGAGGTGTACATTAATACACCACACCACTCAACTCTGCAGATTGATATGTACTGTACATTATGTAATCCACTCCCCTCTGAAGACTGAAAAGTACATTATATACTCTACTTTGCTCCACTCAGTACACTGAGATGTACATGATATATTGGATGCTACTTCACTCTGCAGACTGTGCTGTATAATATATATTACCACTCTTCACACTGGGGTGTACTTTATTTATGCCACTCCACTCCACTCTGCAGACTATACTGTACGTTATATAATTCACATTGCTTTGCTCTGCGATGTACATTATATTTTCCACACACTTGACTCTGATCACTGTGATGTATATTTCTCGCTGCGCACCAGTCCACTCTGTACACTGTGCTGTACATCTATAAGCCTCCACATGATACACCTCTTAGATACTGATCCAGACAGATAGTAATGTAAAATCTGCTCAAAGGGGACTCAAACAACAATAAAAAAGTTAAAGGTGTTTTAAAAAACTTCCTACACTATTCAGAACAAAAAAAACACATTCTCTGTTCTCTAAATAATTCAAAAATGTTTTTTTTTACTTGCTGTTAGATCTGTGGAGTTTGGATGAGTTCTCCAAGGCCACATGTCTGCTAGAAACAGAGAACTTGCCTAGTGTTAAGGCAATCAATTAACTTTGTTCTATATATCACTAAGCAATGGGTTTCACTGTGTGTTGTGCTGAAAAGGTCACCTTTTTAAAAAAAGGAGAAATTAATAAACTAACAAGTCTCTACACTACCCAAGAGGCTAAGATATTGAAAGCTGCTGATTGTGGAATAAATAGTTACTGCGTCAACACCATCACTTACATAATACCTAAATAAGGCAGAGACATAGCGCACTATGGGGTTGATTTATTAGAAATGGAGAGTGCAAAATCTGGTGCAGATCTGCTTAGAAACCAATCAGCTTCCAGGTTTTTTGTCAAAGCTTAATTAGACAAGCTGAAGGTAGAAGCTGATTGGCTACCGTGCACAGCTGCACCAGATTTTGCACTCTCCAGTTTTAGTATATCAACCCCTATGATTGCATAGAAGAAGATATAATAATAAAAATCACTCCATCTACTTTGATTGAGCAAGGATCAGTAAATGTCCAGTCACCAGGATAGATGTGGGTGTGAGAGCTCTGGACCAATAAAAATACAATTTATTTCTGATACACACACATATATATATATATATATATATATATATGTATATATGTGTATATATATGTATATATGTGTATATATATGTATATATGTATATATATATATGTATATATGTATATATATGTATATATATATGTGTATATGTATATATATATATATATATATATATATATATATATATATATGTATATATATATACAGTGGGGCAAAAAAGTATTTAGTCAGCCACCAATTGTGCAAGTTCTCCCACTTAAAAAGATGAGAGAGGCCTGTAATTGGCATCATAGGTAGACCTCAACTATGAGAGACAAAATGAGAAAAAAAAAATCCAGACAATCACATTGGCTGATTTGGAAAGTATTTATTTGCAAATTATGGTGGAAAATAAGTATTTGGTCAATATCAAAAGTTCATCTCAATACTTTGTTATATATCCTTTGTTGGCAATGACAGAGGTCAAACGTTTCCTGTAAATACTTTTATACTGTATATATGTGTGTGTGTGTATATATATATATATATATATATATATATATATGTATATATATATATTTATAAAGTGAATCCATAATTTAAATATACTGTGGGTGGACCTTGTTCTGGTCCTAGGCTGCTACCTCTCCAATAGGGAGCATTCAGAAAGACAGAACATTTTTGAAAGTGTACAAAGGAGCTCCTAGTAAAAAGTATACCATGTGGCGCCGCACCAAGCTATGGATGGAAGGAAAGGGTCATCCCACCAGCAAATGAGA